ATGTTACGGTTTGCAGAAAAAATGATAATAAGGTGTTACACACTGGGGAAGACTGAGGTGGTAATTGCTGTGCATCTTACCACAGGTTTAGCTTGGCCACCTATTTTTTTTCTGTATTTTTAGGGAAGGGTCTACAGGGTATTCAGGGACTCACTACTAGATCCTACTTGTAATGATCCACCTGTTTACAGCATCCCAAGAGCTGGGATTATAGGCGCACACCACCATGCCCAGTCTCAGTTGCTCTCTTAGTGTGCCCCAGGGGCAAGGTAGGCCCAGGGATCAAACCCCCTGCCCTTGAACCTGCTTGCAGGTACTTTAATCTGCTGAGGTATTTGTAAAGATTCCTTTTTTTTTTTTGGCAGCACTGGGGATTGAACTCAGGACCTTGCGCTTGCCAGGCAAGCACTTATTCTATGAGCTATCTCCCCAGCCCCTTGGCCACCCATTTTAATCCCTCTACATCCTAGCATTATGCTCAGGGCTAAAGCATAGTGACAGTAAGGTCCTAGAGTATTTCTTGCATTTTGTGTCAGATATTCCCTGTTTCTTGTAGCAGATGATATAGTATGTTTTACCTATACTGTATATATGTAAAATTTATCCCCTTTACTAGTACTGGACATTTAGGTCATTCCTTATTTATAATTACAGATAGTGTTGCGAATGTCTTTGGGTAATTGAGCATGTTTCAGGGGTGGAATTAATGGGCCATAGAATAGGTATGCATTTAGTTCAGCTAGGCGCTATCAGTGTTCCAAATAGCTGTACTACTTTGCACTCCCATCACCTGTGTGGTCACCATTAGTCAAGACATGAAACATTTCCACTGTAGGAAAGATCCCTGATTTTGCCCTTTTATAGACATGGTCACTTTCTCCCACTTCCCTTAATTCCTAAATTATTCTTCATTTCAAGAATGTTATCTAAATGGAGTCATCTAGTGTGTCATTCTTTAGAACTAGCTTTTTTCACTCAGCATAATTCTCTGGAAATTTGTCAAGGCTGTTTTATATAGCACTAGCTTTTGTTTTGCTTATTTTATCTTTTTATTTATTTATTTTTGTATTGTAGGGAAGGGTCTACAGAGTGTTCAGGGTCTCACTACTAGATCGGACTCGTAGTGATCCGCTTGTTTACAGCCTCCCAAGAGCTGGGATTACAGGAGTGCACCACCACGCCCAGTCTCAACTGCATTCCCAGCGTGCCTCGGGGCTGGGGCCGGCAAGGCAGGCCCAGGGATCGAACTCCTGGCCCCTGCGCCTGCTTGCAGGTGCTTCAATCCACTGAGCTATTTGTCCGGCCCTATCTTATTCTTTTATTTTTATTTTTATTTTTTATTTTCAAAGTTTTATTGATAAACAGCAATGAGACAGTTTCAAATCAAATCGGAAGTACAGTTCCAACAAATAATACACTGCATATATTCTTCTTAGTGGTTAATTGTTGTACAAGATGTGGACTTCTGATCCTATTTACAAACACCATTAGAACAAATCATTCTATTCATTAAGAGAATACAACTATATATCTATCCCAACCACTTTGAATACACAGATACAAAATGGAGATTCATAGGTATACCCCATTTTTTTAAGTTCCGTTATTGAATATTATAGGTGTGTAAACTCAGCAAAATATTCTAAAAGAGTCCAGTAGCCCATAATAGCATTGGGTCTTCTGTTTAACTGGCAATGTCAGAAATTATTGACCTGAGTCCCCCACAGCTCAACTTAACAGCATGGCTTTATTTCCTATATTTTGTCTTCATACTTTTCTACTGGATGGTTAAGACCAAGGTAAAGCAGGACCTATGCAACAAGAGTTGTAGCTTTTTGGTCTGAGAAGGTCAGTGAAATGCCCTCAGGATTTATCCTGAGATCCTGTACCTCAGATGGTAGAACCTTTGTCAGTGCAGCCATGTGGATGAGTCACAGCCATTGCTTGGCCAATGTGCTCTCTGTGAAAGCCTGAGAGAGTGTCTTCTTCCCATGTGACTCTCCTTAGGCACACTCTACGTCATCGATCACTTTCCTCTTTGGCCCCATAATCTTCTTGATCAGAAAATTTGGGACACTACCGAGGTACATGACGTTACAGTACATATCTTATTCTTTTAAAGGAACATTTATTTTTGGTGGAACCGGGGATTGAACTCAGGCCCTTGTGCTTGCCAGGGAAGTGCTTATTCCACTGAAGCATCTTCCTGGCTCCCTAAAGAAACACTTTTTATTAGTATGTTTGTAGTGGAGAATAAATATACATGTGGAGTGATTGGTACATATATGTATAGCATCCTCTGTTTCCCCTTTCCCTTCCCTCTTTTCTGTTACCCTGCATTTCTAGATCTCCTCCCATCCCACAGTATCTATCCTTTCTCATTTATACTATTTTTTGCTCCTTAAGTTATTTATACCTTGATTTCACATATAAGAGAAACTGATAGCTATTTATATATGTGTATTTGATTTATTTCACTTGACATAATTTCAAGGTGCATTTATTCAAACTTCTCTATGACTGAGAAACTGCGTTGTATGTATACCTTGTCTTTACCCATTCACCAATTGGTGGACTGATAGGCTTCTTCCAAATTTAGCGATTATGAGTTGTGCCACACCTATTGCTGTAATATGATATTGTAGACCTTTTCAAGAAGATACATACACAGAAGAGGTATAGCTGGGTCAAATGGAATTTCAATTTTTGTTTTTTTGAGGAATTTCCATAATGGTTCTGCTAGTTCACATTCCTACCACAAATGCGGAAGAATTTCATTTTTCTCCCACAGCTGTTACATTCTCAATCCTGACGATACTAGGAACTAGTGAGATAGATGGCTGAGGACGAGGGAGGAAGTAGAAACACTTTATTCCTAACTGGGTGAATATGTGCTTGCTACTTGAGGCAGGGAATGTGGAAGTAAAATCATATTTAGGAAACACAGTGAGTTGTACTTTGGACATGTTGATTTTTTTCTTTTGCTTGGTGTTTATAGAACATCTGTGTTGACATGCCCAGTGGACATTTGAAATATGAGTTTAGTATTTGGGGGAAGGCTAGAAATCATAGAAGTGGGGGGCCTGCCCCTTAGCTCAGTTCTTTAAGTGGCAGCTTCAACAAAGCAGTCAGGCTCAGGTTGCTGTGGTTCGATCCCCACAACTCCAGCCAGCCAAACCTGCCCCGAAGGCATTCGGAGCAAAAAAAAAGAAAAGAAATCATAGAAGTCCTACATTCAGATGATGGATGATGTGGTGGAAGAGATCAGTTTTATAGAAAAAGTAGAGCTCTGATGACAAATTGTTACAGAGGGAATAGGATTTAAAAATATAATAAGAGAAAGAAAAGAGTACTGTCACTAAAACCATAGAAACTTCTTGCCTTAAAGTTTTCTGTGTCAGGTCTGTCTCAGAAAGCTCAGATTGTCTCTCTGACCTCACCACGGGCCCTTTCCCATCTCACTTTATGTCTTTCTGGGGCAGTTTTTTTTTTTTTTTTCTTTCTTTCTTTCTGTAGGTTAGCATTTGCCACACTGACATATTGGGCTTTCTTATTTGCATTTTTCCATTATTAAGATTATATCATCCTTGCCAGGTGTGGTGCACACACCTGTAATCCCAGCACTCAGGCTGAGGCAGGAGTTCCAGGTCAGCCTGGCCTACGCAGTGAGACCCAGAAAACTAAAGCTTTTATTTTTCTTGAAGCCAAAGATTAGATCTTAATTCATTGTTCTTTTTCCTGTGTATGACAGTTAAGTTGAAATAAGAGACGGTCTGATTCAGAGGCTTTAAGGTGGAGTGGAAAGAATTTAGACAAGGCTATTACATTTGATTGCTGAACTTTTAGAGAAAGTGTTATCTTTAGGAAGATAGGAAGTGAATGGAGAGTTTTAAAGTCTTCTTCTTGTCACTTTTGGAGTTTCTTTACAGTGGTCCCTCACTTCACAAACTTCTTTCCATGATTCTGGTCATAGAATTCATTTCACAATTTTGGAAAAAATCAGGTTTGTGGACCCATGTACCACTGTGTCTGCTTCTTCCTTCCCTAAATATGTTGTTCTAAACTTGGCTCCTTTGGTTGCTGTTCCGTCATGGTAGAAGTCTTCTTACTGTGACTTGTGAGGACTCCACTGCTCAAGCATAAGGAGGGAGCAGCCCCTCTCCATGAAAGTTGTCTCCTTCCACCATATTAGACTCGCTCTTCCAAACTTCCATGACACTGTGCATCAGGTTATTAATGCAGTTTCCTATTTTATTTCTTATTAATAGTGTGCTCAATATATAGTTAGGTATCATATCTTTTTATTACCACTAATTAAATATGTGAGAGCTTTTATAGGGTTTTAGTGTAGGTGTTCACCTTTCAGTTTAATTTAGATGTCCACAAAAATGTTTTCCAATTGAAATTTAAAATTTAAGTCATGGACTGATTTAGTTTTTATTTTTCTTTTTTAAATACAAGATTCCTGGCATAGACTTTGTGATTATCTAGGAATGTGTTTATTTGAATTATTATTACTATTAATTCTTAATAATCTTTTCTTAGATTCTTTTCCTATGGGCTCTGTAAGGCTAGGATTTTGTCACTTTTGTATTCTACTAATGGTAGCCTGATAAAATCTGTGATACAGTTTTGTTAAACTATCCATTTCTGTTTGAATTATCAGTTTTTTTTCCATTTTAAAGCATATTTAACTTTTCAGTTTAAAACTTTTAAAGGCATTAGTAGTACAGAGTTACAAAATACAAAATTACAGTGTGATGGGTTATATGATAAATAAGCCCCATGTTGTAATTTTTTTCCTTGAATACTTTACCTCAGTAAGTTTAAATGCCTTTGTTTTTGCCCTGGAACTTGTATTTTTCTACAGGAGCCAGTAAAATGTCACAGTTTTTTCTTTTATTTTATGGCATGTGCTTTTATTCAGTAGTTGTTATGTAAGAATTAAGTTAAGTGGGAACATTTGGTTGGATTAAACAAAACAGCTTTTCTCTTTCCAGATTGCTGCAATTCTCCGGAAACGAAAATTTGAGTATTATTTACACAAACTACTCCCAGAGATCCTACAGTCCGCTTCATTTTTGACTGCTAATGGGGCCTTCTATATTCTTTTCTTTTGCCTTTTAAGGTTGGTACAATAACCACTAGAAATTAATATAAATTCCTTACTTAAATGGAAAACAGATAATTGTTGTGGGTATGTCACTTTTGCTGTTTGTATTTTAAATCTGTGAAATCATATTCATCTCAAAGATGTCATATAAATTTCAAATATTGATATGATTGTATAGCAATTAGTGTATTTTCTGCGACCTGCTATATTTTTGAAGACCTTGTTCATTACAATCAGAAATTCAAAGCAACTCTTATGACAAAGGCCTCTGTGCAGTGAACAGAGCTCAAAAGGACTATAAAGTATACTTACTTCAGTATAAAACAAATTTAACTAGTAGTGTAGCCTACTGTTGGAACATTTGTTTCTCATTCAGTATACCTCCTGCCTGTACACATTGTGGGTGGAGATAGAATTAAGCCTTGGAGTGATGAGAGAAACCCAGCGTATTTATTATGTACTTACTTTTTTGTGTTTTTCCACTGATTGTTGAAAATAAACTTTTAAAAAGTGTCAAATTAAAATATTCATATTATCTTTATATTTGTACCCAAAGTAGTTGTCATTGTAGCTGTTACTATATATTTAACTATATAGCATTTAAGCTACAGTTAAACATGTAACTTAAAAATAGTTTTACATACTTTTTCCCTTGGAGTATTAATATTTATAAGCTTTTAATATTTACAAAGTAGCCGATCACTATACTATTGAATGTAATGAAGACTTGAAAATCTGTAAATAACTGACTTCATGTGCTCTCTAAAGTGTTTCTAAGACATGTTAAAACTAAAAATAAGTAGACAGATAGTACAGTTTAAAAATTGTGCTAAATTAGATTTCTGTTGTGTAGTACGTTTCTTTAAATTCCATAAACTTGGTTGTTAATCGTGGAAGCATGAAATACTTATAATGAGACAATTCCTTTGTTTTATACTCAGTGACTTGTTATTTTTGGCTTTCATACTGGAGAGAAAACTACCTCCAGTTTTTAGGCAGAAAATATCTACTGTAGTTTTTCCAGTTGTTTCAAATCTAAACTTCAATTAAGAAGATTGTGTCCCCGATTCTTTTCTCTCCTTCCTCCCTCCCTTCTCTTTCCATCATGCCTTATTTAGCAGTTGGCCAGCTTTGTCCAAGTACATTTTTTGACGCTTTCACGTGGCATTTCTGTTTTCTCAGGAACACATTATTTGGAAAGAAGCAGAAATCTTAACACGTGCAGGTCTTTTCTCTTTTAGAAATCCCAGCCAGCTAATGATCATTTATAATGTTGGGGCACTCTCTGGATTTCTACTTTCAAGTAATATATTCTCAATGAAAACTGGTGAACACTTAGAACTAAAGTTTTGGTGTTTGGTGTTCATTTATTTAACTAAAATACCAAATACTTTAGTTAAATACTGTAAGAAAAACGTTAGCAAGCGTTGTGGAAGCAAAGAATGAAAGATATTTGTTGAATAGCAAATTTTAAAAATAGTAATTATACTAATAAAGTAATAATTATAATAACAAATAGCACTTTCTTACTACTTACAAGATGTGCCCTGGATGGTACTGGGAAAAGAGGTGAGTTTGGTTTTGGATACATTGAATTTAAGGTCAGACATTTAGATAGAGGGTGTTCTGACAGGGACACTTCTCTTCATAGTAACAGAAATGACCTACTAGGAATTTGATATAAAAAAATCCAAATTTGAATTTCAGGAAGATACTTGGAAAATTTTATGCGTGGACTCCTGGTTTCGGTGCCGCCTTGCCAGCATCTTATATGGCCATTCTAATTGAGAGGAAAAGCAGGTAAAATTTTATATGTCTATGTATTAAATAGAACTGATTACCTATCACTCATTGAGATTAGACTTTTTTGTGTGTGTTTGCATATCATTTATTGTAGTCCAAGGATGAGAAATACTGTTACATTTTTGTGGATATTTAATATTTTTACAGTATATTTATTAAATCTAAAAATATAAAGATATTACAGACCAATAGTACTTATTGCTGCTGGACTAAAATGTGTCATCATAAGCAAATTCTAACAAAAGCTCTTCTTCCTGGCCATAATAGCGTTATTGTATCTAATGAAGTGAGTAGTAATTTTGTATTATCATCTGGATCTGTACTTTGCTTCCAGCCTGTTGTCTGCTGTGCCAGCTATTATTTTTAAGGCATCTTAAGATTAAAAAAAAAAATCATCATCAATCTGAAATTTTCCACGTGAATATCATTTCTATGGAATGTTGTAAACTTATATAAATTATTCAGATGAACAATTGAAGTTAAATATTTTGCATAATCCTTGTCATCCAGTGAATAATTATTTTTATTGCTGGGAAATTATCTACCTTTGTTCTAGAGATTCAAAATGGGATAATATGTTCAAACTTTAGTTTATAAAGGTGTGTATGATAGTTATAGGCCTCCCCATAAGAATATGAGTAAGTCTTATGAGATACCCTAGTATGTATATATGTATGTGTATTTATACTAGTACATTAAGTACTGTATGTTCTTACCTCAGTTTTCTCTCTCTTAGATTTATCATGGTATTTTTGAACTATTAGAATTATTGAATTCAGAGACCTAGTGGATGTTATAGCATCTGCAGAGTCAAGTTGCTAGTGTCCCAAACACGAGTTTCCTCCACCCAAGGAGGCGGTGCAGCATGGTAGATAAGTGTGGATTCTGGACCTGCGCTGCTTGGTTTGGAGCTTGGCTGTGCCGCTTACTGTGTCGCCCTGTGACTTACTGCTTAGCTGGGAAATGGAAGTAGTAATAATCTCTTAGTTTTCAAGTCGCTCAGATAATTGAGTTAGTATATGGGAAAAAAAACACAGAACAGTATTTGGGCTATAGTAATGTGAACTATCTGTCAAGTGTTAGTGTTGCTTTTTGCCCGTAGGTAATGGGGAGAGATAATGATGATTATAGCTTCCTGATTGGTTGTAAACTGAGTTCTGGTTTTGAAAATACATGTTCAAAAAATATGCTAGTCAAATATGAAACTTTAAAGAGCCTTTAAGTTTGCCATGTTTTACTTATTTTTTAGCAATTGAATAATAGGCAAACGTATTTGTAGTTATGTGCCTGCTTAATAACAGAAATTGTTGAAGTGGACACTTTTCTAGCCATTTAACATTTTGCCATTTTTATTTTCATGGTGTGTACGTACTTGTATATAGGTATGCTATGGTGTGTTTGTGTGTACTGTGGGGACGCGTTCATGATGACACAGTACTTGTAAATACTGAAGCAGGCGCCTCTGAGGACATCGTCCTGTATAGCCACATCACTGTTAGCACACATAGAAAAATTAACATTCCTTAATACCATCTAGTACATACTGCTCTGAAGTGACCTCATAGCTGTTTCTTGGAACTAGAATGCAGTAAAAATTTATGTATGTTGTTTTTGTTTTAATTTTTTTTTAATCCAGGAGAGTCACTTCACTTTTTTCCCCCCACACTATTGGCTTGTCCCAAGTAACACATTTCTAGTTTTGTATAAATTGTTTTCTCATGGAATTGTTTAATTGGCCCTTTTACTTATTTCTGTAAGCTTAGAGCTTTGCTTAAAGGTTTGGTTAGGTTAAAATTGAACATTTGTGACAAAAGCCTGGTGTGGTGGCACAGGCCTATAATCCTAGCACTTGAGAGGCTGAGGCAAGAGGATTGTTTCAAGTTTAAGACCAGCCTGGACTACGAAGTGAGCTCAAGGCCAGCTTGAACTGCATAGCAAGACAGTGTCTCGAAAAGACCTGCCCCCCCCAGTTTTTTTTTTTTTCTTTGTGGCAAAAATATACTTTATACATAATGCTGAGACCATCAAGAGAGCCATTGCTTGATGATTACAATCAGAATTTGGGCTGTAATCACTAGATCTTTCCAATAAATTTATTTATAATATAAATAAATAAAAACATTTATTATTTGTGGCAAATTAGATAATAGGCTTGCTGGAATAAACCTCACTTGGTCATGACTTTAGTGCTGTGAGATTAGCTACTCATTTTGTATATACTTATCCTGCTTGGATATGTGTGTCATAGTCACTTTAGAAAATGTGCCATTCTCTTCCTTTGTCTTTGGTCTGGAATAATTTAAGTAATGAGGAACTTTCTGCCCATGAAGGTTCACTTCCTCCATAAAATCTGGGCATGATGATTCTTTGGGTGGAAGTTCTTAGAAAAAGTTATCAGTTTCTCCTATGGAAGGTACTCTTTTTAAACTTTCAACTTGCACAAACAGAGCTGTAGGAAGTTTCTGTAAGACTAGAAAGTTACCCGTTTCTTAAAAATTTACTGAAATCACTCAATTTAAATTATTTTATATTTATGTGGAACTGAGCAAAGTAGTTTATGATTTGGCTGAATAATTTATTTTCTATGCTTGTTTCTCAGCTCGTATTATATAATTGTGCCATTTTTTTTCTCCCCAGTGTATTATTGCAGTGGCAGTGTCGTAGCCAACGAGGTTTATCTGAGGTGTGCTTGTCGCTCGTTCTCTGAGTCTCCTGACACTCAGGTTTTTCTCTTTGTTTGTGTTGGAGATGCTGGCACTCAAGCCTAGAGCACTGCACGAGCTAGACTGCTGTGCTGCGCTGCGCTCAGAACTTGTTCTTGTTCTGTATTCTAATTCAATTTTTGTTTTTATATTTTTTCTTCTATTTTCTTTTGGTTAATTTGCTTTCTTTATAACTCTTTCACTTTAATTTTTATAATTTATTTCTTATTTTTAAAGTTCTGTTGCTTTTAATATTTAGGATATGGATTTTCTTCGGATCACTGCTTTGATTGTATTTCATAGATTGTGATACGTAGTGTACTTAACCATTTTCTCAAAATTCTATGAGGTTTAGTTTATATTTTCTTTTTGATATGAGAATTATTTTGTAATGAGTATAAAAAGATAAAAGGACCTCTGTTATTAATTTGTATTGTTTTCTATTGCATTCTTATTTGAGAATGTCATAATATTTCCTTTGAACATGACTCTAATATTTTCTTTGTGGCTTAATTTATATAAATTTTTGTGACAGTTTTATAAATGTTTGAAAACAATAAATTCTCTTTTATTTGGGTTCAAAAGTTGATAGCTTTAAGATCTGTGTGGTTCTGGTTGTTTCTTTTTGAGTTCTTTCATTTAATGCCTTTTAGCTTGAGTGTTACTTATGTATAGCGATCAGTATCATGACTCTGGCTCTTCTTTTTCTTTTTTGCTTGTTTCCATCATGTGTCTTTACCTTGTTGAAACAGTTTGCCTTATGAGCTTTGTGTACAGTACCTCATATAGGTTTTTATTTTGTTTTTTTATATGTATTTGGTACAGGGTCTCACTATGCAGCTCAGACTTACAGTGATTTCCTGTTTCAGTCTCCCCAGAGCTGGCATTACAGGTGTGCACCACCATGCCCAGACTCAGTGGCCCAGCGTGCCCAGGGGCGCGCCCAGCGTGGCCTGTGGTACCTGGGATCCAGCCCTGGTCCCTGTGCTTGCCTAAGCAGGTGCTTAGTTCCCTGAGCTATCTTGCAGGCCTTGTGTACACATTTTTGTGTGAACCTCATTCCATCCAGTTGTGAAATTGCTGGTTTGTATGGTAACCCCATACTCTTTTCCATTCTCTCCAGCAGTATATGAAGGGTCCAATTTCTACAGTTTCTTGTCAGGACTGTTTCTGTGTGTTTCTGATGTTTTCATTTTTGGTGAGTGTGAAGTGGCATCTCATTGTAGCTTCAGTTTGCATTTTCTAGATGGCTGGTGATAGTGATTATAACTTCATGTACTTTTGAGCCTTTTTTTTTTTTTGAGAAATGGCTATTCAGATGCTGTGCTGATTTTTCTTTCTTTCTTTTTAAAGGCAGGGTTTCACTATGTATTCTAGGCTGGCCTTGAACTCTCTATGTAGCCCAGGCTGGCCTTGAACTCATGGTGATCCTTCTGCTTCTGCCTCTCAAGTGCTGGGATTACAGGCATGTGCCGCCACATCTGGCCTATGCTGATTTTTAAATAGGGTTATGTCGCTTTGAATTATTGTGTTGTAAATGTACTTTGGATATTGTAGTTATGAAACCCTTGCAGATGTTTTCTCATGTTTTTTTTTTTTTTTTACTTTCTTTATCATATGTTTCAAAGCACATTAAGTTTTTAACTTTGTTGAAGGCTAATTTAGTTCTTGTTGACTATGTTTTTGGTGTTTTGTTTAAGGAACCTTTACCAACACAAAGACTTACCCTTATTTTTTCTGTTAAAAGTTTTACAGTTTAAGTTCATATGTGTACATCTTTTATCCATTTGAATTAATCTTTTGTATATGAGAAAGAGGAATATTCTGTTTTAAATCGATTTTCCACATGTGTTGCTGCTGCATGTCATTGCCATTGATTTTGTGTGTTGAGCGTGATTCTTATCTTGCTGACTCAGCTCATTTGTTCTAGGAGTTTTTGGTGCATTTGTTGTGATTTTCTGTGTAGATATTTATGTTACCTGAATATGGAGTTTTATTTCTTCTTTTTCAGTCTCTATGTCCTTTATTTCTTTCTTTTTTTTTTTTTTTTCCTTTATTTCTTTTTCTTGCCTTGCAGTAGTACATCTATTCTTTGTTCCTGACCTTAGGGAAAAATAATGTATGTTGTTATCTCTAAGTGAGATTTTAGATGTAGTTCATCAAGTTTGGAAATTTAACATTTATTTCTAATTTGCTGAGAATCTTCAGCATGAATAAGTACCTTCTGTTAAATGTCTTTTTTTTTTTTCACTTGAATATAATTGTGTGCTTTTTCTTTAACTGATTTGCCAAGGT